GGGATTGAGACGGAGGAGGAGCGAGAGGGTTGGGGGGTGGCGGCTGTGGGACGAGAGGGGGAGAGTGGATCGGGGGAGAGGAGTGGATCAGGGAAGTTAGAGTTTGGGTGAGAGGGTGAGGGGGTGAGGGCTGCCGTTGGATCTAGAAGAATCCAACGGTGGTTGAGGCATGATCCGCGTGATATGCCTATGGACCAATCAGAGCGCACCAAACAATTTGAAGATTTTTTGACCATATAAATTGGTCATGATTGATTACATACAAATTTTTCATTTCATTTTTCAATGCTCAAAATGAGTTTTTTTGTGAAAGACCTATCAAATATTTGTTCAAATGATGTCATATTTTGCACAAGTTTACATCTTAGATTGGCAAACAACATTGACAAAGAGAGTTTTTATTTCTTTTGCATGAAAAAACAATTTTTCATTTTTTGAGTGCCCAAAATAAGTTTTTTTGTGAAGGACTTACCATATATTTGTTCCGAAATTATACCAAATCAATTTTCTAAAATACTAGGCTATATATAATGCACAATTGACCAAATGGTTAGGTGTCAAAAGTTTCGATGCACCTCTCATGAAAAAGACAAATTTCCACCGATTCAGTAGAAAGCGGGTAAATTTGTACTGCAGCTGCCTCATAGTTTGCTCTTTATTTTTTCCAAAAATCATTTGTAGGTACATAAGTATCTATTTAATCATAAAAACACAAAAAAAATTCCAAGCTTCAACCACTATCTAGGAACGGTCATGCCCGCTGTTTTGACCCCATTTTGAAACAGGCATAAAAAATTCAAAAAAACAAAAAAAAAATCAAAAACCTTCGCATTGTGTCATTATATGTGACCAAGTTACCAGGAAAAATAATAAACTTGTAATACGGCAATTCTTTTAAAAAAGTATTCTCAGAAACGAGCTATCATGTGTGGAGATCAATGGCTTTCAAGCCAAATGATCAATCTTATGGCCACGTTCATGGCATAGTTTGTTCAAATGATCTCATATTGTGCACAAGGGTGCATATTGGAATGGCAAACAATGTTGCCTAAGGAAATTTTCATTTTCTTTGGACGAAAAAATCATTTTCCATTTTTTGAGTGCCTCAAATGAGGTTTTTTGTGAAGAACCTACCAAATAATTGTTGCAAAATTGGACCAGATCATTTTCCTAAAATACTAGGCCATATTTAATTCACAATTGACCAAATGGTCGGGTGTAAAAAGTTTTGATCCACCTCTGGTGAAAAAGACAAATTTCCGCCGATTCAGTTGGAAGCGGGTCAAATTTGAACTGCAGCTGCCTCATAGTTTGCTCTTTATTTTTTCCAAAAATCATTTCTAGGTACAAAAGTATCTATTTAATCAGAGAAACATCAAAATTTTTCCAAGATTCAAGCACTAGTTAGGAACGGTCAAGCCCGCCGTTTTGACCGCATTTTGAAACGGGCATAAAAAATTCAAAAAAAACAAAAAATTGGAAAACCTTTGCATTGTGTCATTATATGTGACCAAGTTTTCAGGAAAAATAATAAAATTTTAATACGGAAATTATTTTTAAAAAGTGTTCTCAGAAATGAGCTATCATGCATGAAGATTCATGGCTTTCAAGCCAAATGATCAATCTTATAGCCACATTCATGGAATAGTTTGTTCAAATGATCTCATATGGTGCACAAGGGTGCATCTTGGCATTCCAAACAATGTTGTCTAAGGGATTTTTAATTTTCTTTGCACAAAAAATTCATTTTCCATTTTCCGAGTGCCTGAAATGAGTTTTTTTTGTGAAGGACCTACCATATATTTGTTGCAAAATTGGACCAAATCAATTTTCTAGAATACTAGGCCATATTTAATGCACAATTGACAAAATGGTTGGGTGTCAAAAGTTTTGATCCACCTCGGGTGAAAAAGACAAATTCCCGCCGATTTAGTAGGAAGAGGGTCAAATTTGAACTGCAGCTGCCTCATAGTTTGCTTTTTATTTTTTCCAAAAATCATTTCTAGGTACACAAGTGTCTATTTAATCATAGAAACATCAAAATTGTTCCAAGATTCAACCACTAGCTAGGAACGGTCAAGCCCGTCGTTTTGACCGCATTTTGAAACGGGAATAAAAAATTCAAAAAAAATCAAAAAATTGGCAAACCTTCGCATTGTGTCATTATATGTGACCAAGTTTCCAGGAAAAATAATAAACCTGTAATACAGAAATTATTTTAAAAAAGTGTTCTCATAAATGAGCTATCATGTGTGAAGATTAATGGCTTTCAAGCCAAATGATAAATCTTATGTCCACATTCATGGCATAGTTTGTTCAAATGATCTCATATTGTGCACAAGGGTGCATATTGGAATTCCAAACAATGTTGCCTAAGGGAGTTTTCATTTCTTTGCACAGAAAGTTCATTTTCCATTTTTCGAGTGCCTGAAATGAGTTTTTTTTTGTGAAGGATCTACCATATATATGTTGCAAAATTGGACCAAATCAATTTTATAAAATACTAGGCCATATTTAATGCACAATTGACAAAATGGTTGGGTGTCAAAAGTTTTGATCCACCTCTGGTGAAAAATACAAATTCCCGCCGATTCAGTAGGAAGCGGGTCAAATTTGAACCGCAGCTGCTTCATAGTTTGCTCTTTATTTTTTCCAAAAATCATTTCTAGGTACACAAGTATCTATTTAAGCATAAATACATGGTTTGGTGGCGATACATCGAGGTTTGGACGGTGGCCGAGGGCCCCAACTCTAGAGCGCATAAGCTCGCATTCCCGCCGCGTGGTCACCGCGTGACCGTGGCGTTGCCATGCGTTCTGGGCGGCCTAGGAATGTCTAGTGTGTTGGGCACTCCCCAGGTAGGTGATAGGAAGAAAATTACAACATAAGATTCTCATGAGGAGAGCGAACTATGCTCAAAGATGAATTTGTGGCCAAGTGTTTGATTAGCGGTACGGGAAATGCACATGGCCAATGGGCGTGAGTTTTGGCTGAGGATGATCATATACTAAGAAGAATGTCTTCACAAATTTTCAGCTCAAAAGGAGGATCCTAGGTGGTACTTGCTTTGCAAAGTACCACACTCGACATAAATACGAACGTTGAAGCTGGGCTCAAAATAATGAATGGATTGAGCTGAAATTTGGTGGAGCATGGTTATTTGGGCATAGGAAAGCACTATAGAAAATAGATACCATTTGGACATGCCAAAGTGGTACTTCCTTACAAGGCTCTTCTCTGGACAGAAACTTCGGAAAATTAGTGAGAGAAATTGGCTAAATGAAATGAGCTCAAATTTGGTGTAGGTAAGTTACATGTGCATATAAAATATGTGGAAAAAATTCAACTCATTAGGATATGCTTTGCTAGTACTTCTTTCACAAAGATTCTAGGTGGACAAAAACTTTGGAAATTTTCCGAGGAAGATTTACTGGGCAAATGGAGCTGAATTTTGTCCTGAGGCAATGATTTGGATAGGAAAGAGTGCCCAAAATTTTTGAGGGCAACCAAGAATATACAAATAGCACTTCCTTCACAATGCTCTTCTCTGGACAGAAACTTTAGAAAATTAATGAGAGAAATTGGCTAAATGAACTAAGCTCAAATTTGGTGTAGGTAAGTTACATAGGCATATAGAATATGTGGCAAAAATTCAACTCATTAGGATATGCATAGCTAGTACTTATTTCACAAAGGTTCTAGGTGGACAAAAACTTTGGAAATTTGCCGAGGAAGATTTACTGGGCAAATGGAGCTGAATTTTGTCATGAGGCAATGATTTGGATAGGAAATAGTGCCCAAATTTTGAGGGCAATCAAGAATATATAAATAGCACTTCCTTCACAAAGTGTTTTTCTGAACAGAATAGGAAAATGAATATTTTTGAATTATTTTTGAACTAGGCAAGGAAGGTTTTTTACATATTTGACGAAGATATGACCAAAGAATTTATGAATTTATGAGATTTTTTGGGAATTTTTGGAATGACAGAAATATAGGTTGCTTCACAACCTAGGGCAAAAACTGACACATGGACATGACACATATGCAAAACTGATGAGGTGGCGCCTAGTCATAGCAACCAACCACAATTTACAAGGTTATGACCATCTATATTGGTCATGATCAGCTAGAAATAAGGCAGCGGACTAGTGCTATCTGCTTTATGACCATTTCGTGTAAGGAAATTACGACCTTTCTGACCAAAATGGTCATTATAGTTTAGGGTTTGGATCCCCCCGAATAGCTTTTGACCAATTGGTCTCAAATGGTCATAGATCTATGACCAATTCTTCCAGGGTCACTGACAGAAGGTCACTAGTAACATATTTCTTGTAGT